ATACAGTAATAAAGGTTAACTGACGTCGTACGTTACGAGCCTTAAGCTACTTGAGAAAGGGTTGTTGGAGAGTTTCTTTTCAACAGCTTGAATGTCTAGTATGGTACCCTTTGGGTAACATGCGACGCATTCACTCTCAGGTCATAGTCTCTAGTGCGACATTAGTTGCAAACATCCATAAAAAACAGTTCTTCCGTAAAAGACAGAAAACAAACTTCAAACTTTTTGCCCCGTGGGCCCATAAGTCAAAGGAAGCTTTTTCTGAAGAAAAGAGTGTCGTTAACTCCCAGTTCTACCGCAAACGGTAACGCATAAGTCTCCAAGGGTCGAGCTGCAAACACCAAACTGCTAGAACTGTTTGTTAACCCTACTCGGAAAAACAGATGAATCTGAATTCCCGTAATCTGTATTATCCTGAACTACGTAAGCTCTGATCTCTCATACCTATTGAGAGTACATAGGCACAATACTGACGTATTGGCGAGCCACCTTCCCCGTAACCCGTAGTTAGTCGAACTACGTTGACTCTGATTTCGTATTCTCTGATGAGAATACGTAGGCATAAAGCGCGACGCATTGCCGAGTCATTTTCTTTTGTTTTTGAGCCAGCCTTGATAGGTAGATAAATTAAATAAACCCGTCAGATAAACACAACAAGCATGGATCCCATCGAGTATGATGGACGTGAGGGGTGCTAATACCTTCCCCTTGCGTAACCGACTCCCGAACCCAGACATGGTTGCGATGACCTTGTCTTATACCTTTTCGTCAGGTTTTTCCGATCGTTTCCTTTCCTATTTTGAGGGATAAATAACGAAAGGTGGCGACTCTTCTGTTTTGCCGGTACCTTATTTTCGCGGTAGCGACAGTCGTCAAGACATTTTCAAACCACTTCCATTCCACCATGTTTTTACACGCAGATATAAGTCAAACCCTTGATCCAACGTCAAACAGATTTTCTCAACAAACTGTTAAACCAATTCACCATCTTTTCTCTTTTACAAAATTTTCTCCATTTCTTTTGTCTCTTTAAACCTTGGTCTTGTACCAAGTACATTTTCAAAACTATTTTCCTAATAAAACTTGAATGGTTTGAAGTGGTTGGGCGTATGCCTTCTCCTATCCTGAGTGCTTAACATTACCTTTAGGATTCACTTTTGTAAAGCGCTTACCATTCGAGAACAAAACATGTTTAATAAGAGAACGAAGTTCTCTTTGTGTTGAACTAAAGAGAGAGGATTGAGTGCAAACTTCTTTCTCTCCGAGTATTAGGATACTCACAGTAGAATATGTAGTCTCGATACTCTTCTTTCAATACGAAGACTTGACTGTATTCGCCACACCATCTGAGGACCTATTTCACTCCTAAAAATAACTTTCACAAATCAAATGTGACATCTTGCCTCGATGGTGAAAACTTCTCTTTTCAAAAGGATATGTTACGTCTGTTCTACCGCAAACAGGTAACGCCTAAGACTCCACAAGCGAGCTGCAATACACCTAACTTCTAGAATGCGCACGCTAACACCATCCACCAAAAATACCAGTTAACCGTAGGCCGAACTACGCCTGCTCTAATTTCTCATGCCTGTTGAGAATACGTAAGCATAAGATTGCGATGATCCTAGCGAGCACTCTTCTTTCTTTTCCACCTTTAGTCCTCCGATCTCCCTCAGAGAAGGACATACTACGTCAGTTCTACCACAAACAGGTAACGCTAAGACTCTACAAGTGAGTTGCAATACACCTAACTGCTAGAATGTGCACATTAACACCATCCACCAAAAATACCAGTTAATCGTAGGCCGAACTACGGCTGCTCTGATTTCTCATGCATGTTGAGAATACGTAGGCATAGGATTGCGATGATCCTAGCGAGCACTCTTCTTTCTTTTCCACCTTTAGTCCCGCGATCTCCCCCAGAGAAGGACATGCTATGTCCGTTCTACCGCAAACAGGTAACGCCTAAGACTCCACAAGCGAGCTGCAATACACTTAACTGCTAGAATGCATATATTAGCATCGTCTACCATAACTTCCCAGTTAACCGTAGGCCGAACTACGATTGCTCTAATTCTTTACTTCTTTTAAGTAAAGATACGTAGGCACGAGGGCCCTAATCCTCGCCGAGTACTTTCATGTCTTCTTATCCATAGTCCTCCGAACTATGTTGACTCTGACTTTCTCATACCTGTTGAGAATACGTAGGCATAAGACTGCGAAGTCCCACCGAGTCTCTTTCTTCCCTCTCTTCACCTTCTCTTTTCCCCGTTTCTAACCTTTCTCTCTCCCTTTAAAACACACTTATACAACAATACCCGTTAGCAAATACCTTCACACATAGAAAAACAAATGGTTTCCATTGAGTACGATGGATGCGAGGGGTGTTAATACCTTCCCTCCGCATAACCGGCTTCCGAACCCTTTCTCTTGGTTGAGAGACCATCTTATCCGTTTCTTTCTCGGGGGATGTTTTCCCTTCCCCTTTTGGGATAAATAAAGTTCGATGTCGATTCTTCTGTCTTTCCATTTCGCCTCTCCGTCGTTGCATTTTCAAGTAGCGACAACAGAAAACAAATCCAACATTGCATCCTCAACCCCATTAAGAACTTCGACCCCTTCTTCTATTTTATGATAAATTCGGCCGAGTACGTTTACATTCAACCATCCCAAATGATCTCTCAACAACTTGAATTTCCTAACTAAAACTTGACAAATATTTCCTTTAAAGTCTGTAGCATTCCACACCTTATTGACAAAGTCCATAAACTCGGGGTGATATAACCAACAGTTGTAAACCTTAAAAGGTTTTGGCTCCCAATTTGTTTTATTCGCTTTAACCCAAATTGATTTATGATCGAAAATGTCGCGTCTTCTAACGTGTTGAAACATAACCCCTAATTCCTTAATCAAAGTTTCTGATACGAGGAATCTGTCTAATCTGCTCTTGGATTTGCCATTGGAGTTGAACCATGTGAAAATGTTGCCAACCACTAGGAGATCGTCCAACTCCATATCCTCCATGAATGCTGCGAAATCCTCCATAGCTTCCATGTCAACCTTCCCTTTACATTGCCTTTCTTCCTTTATTTTGATTACATTAAGGTTTCCCGCGATAAGCCATTCTCCCTTAGGAAAACTGAACCTAATTTATATCAATCACGACCACATTTTTCTCTTCTCCCCAATGTCACATGAAAAGTATGTATTCACAAAGTAACAGTTAAGGTATCTCCACAAAGCATTGATCCCTAAGTATCCAATTCCATAAAAGTTGGACATTGGATAAAAAACGTTCTTGCGCCATATTGATATATTCCACCAGATTGGCCTTCAACAGCTTGAGCCGACCAATCGCAATCATCCATTCCCCAAATGTTTTTAAATGAGTTCTTCTTTTTATATAAAAAATAAGAATAATGATTTTATATATACTAAATTATCTTTATTACAAAAATAATATACTAAGGTGATTTAAATATAAAAAATAAGAATAATGATTTTATATATACTAAATTATCTTTATTACAAAAATAATATACTAAGGGGATTTAAGAATTAATTTTAAAAAAAATAAATGTAATCACAATAAAATGAAAATAATTGTGATACATTAACTATATTTTCTTTTTCAAATTTCAATTCTTTTAGTGTTGCTTTTTATAGAAATTACTTACTAAAGAAATCATTACTCATACAATTCATACATTATACAAATACAATTAGATCTATTATACAAAGTTGAATTTATTATAAAATTGAACATGTGTTTGTGAATAAACAACTAGTTAAAATATGTGGTTTTTAATATGTTAGAATTAAAATGAATGATTTTTTTAATCGAATAGAATTAATAAGTAAGGGATACTCAAATTCGATACAAATTGCAAGTTTGTGGAATGACAAATTGCAAGTTTGTGACATTCCACAGACAAATACGTTAAATGTAATAATCGAATTTCACTTTAAAATTACTATTATAAATTAACCAAAACTAAAAAAGAAACTTGATATTAAACACAATATTGTCAATAGAGATTATTACATTGTTGAATATTAAGGGTCCAACCACCACACAAGCATCAGACTGATTCGGAAACAAGAAAGCACCATGTAGAATATTGGCTGGAAAGTTCAAATCCCACTCCCAATTAAGACCGTTCCAAAACGACGCATCCCTTATCTTCAAAGGCAAGAACTTTACACACCCAAATAAATCTAGAAAAACTTTCTCTAACTTTTCCTTCCCAACCACCTAGATTTCAAAAAAAAACTTAAAGTCTTTCCATTTCAAAGTTTCCCTCTAAAACAATTGAAAATGTTAAAGTTAGAATGAGAAAATTCAAGACCTAATACTTTCAAATCCAGCCACGATATTGAGTGCTATTTGCCGTATCCATTGATCTCATCCTCGCAAACCAGAGTTTGAATCTCCCCATCGTGTAGGAAAAAAGCTCATGCCAAATAACCTCTTTCTTATTTAAAATTCTCTAAAATCACTTACACATAAGCGCTTGATTAAAAATATCACAATGTTTAATTTTAAGACCACCATATTTTTTAACTTGGCACACCTTCTTCCAACTTAACCACAGAAACATAATACCATTTCTTCTAAACCTATGTTAATGGGCAACATTTTTCATTGTAATAAAAAATTGATGAGTATGTTATTTAGAACATGGACAACACTTTTCATTATCATCGAGAACATTGAGAATGAGTCTATTATCAAGCATGTACTAAATTTTTAGTATAATATAATTTTTTTAGTATGTTATTCTATGATGGCACATGTATTTGCATAGTTAAGAAAAAGAAAAGAAAGAGAACACAGAATTAATAAGAAACGTTTATAGAAACATTGTTCAAGCAAAGTCTTAATTATAAAAGAAATCACATAGAGGTCACACAAGCTGCTAGTAAACAGGGTATTATTTAGAAACAGTAGGAAATTATTATTACAAGCTGCTAGTAAGCATAGCTTGTAACAACATTATTCATATGTCTGAGACCCTTCTTGTTCTTGTTATGTAGTTTGATGTGAATGACCATGAATGGATGTTGTAGGATTGATTAGTTAATGTAGCAGCAGATAGACCAATCTGAACGGTGTTTGGGAGCACAGTTTTCAAATCAACGACTTGAGAAATGGTGGAAATTCTACCACTCTCATAAGTGACAAGAGCACTCAACGTGTTAGAAGAAGAATCATAGATTATAGTTACTTTAGTCAATGAGCCATTCACCCACCTCCATCTCAGTCTCACAGTCTTGGTCGAAATTATAGAGTTGATGTCAATTCCAATATGTCTCCCTGCGGGGTCCCAAGAATTGCGAAAGAGATCAAACTCTACACCAACAAACCGATTGATTGAAGTTTGGCTATCAACTACTCCAAGAAATGGTGTGGTGGAGTTGATGGGAATCACGGTGTCTGGTGGTGTAATGAAAAAGATCAATCCATCAGTTATAGGACCTCCCGAGGTCTCCATGACGAAAGAAAAGGAAGTGGCGAAGCTGACAAGTTCGCCGGTAGCGTTGTCCCAAAGAGTCACGGGTGTTGTATATAAGGCACGACCTGTTGTTGGAGTGAATGTACCTTGAGGAAGTGATGAGCTTTTGGTGAGTGCTAAGACACCGCTGGATAAAATCTCGGCATCCCCTTGGAGAGTGATGCGAGAATCACCGGGGATGAGCTTGGGGAAATTGAAGGACAGTGCTTGTATTGAGTTTAGATTTGTTGATAACAAGAGAAAAATGACTGAAACAAGACAAAATAGTGCTTGAGTTGGAAGGTTTGTGCGATAAAAAGCCATGGTACTGTGAAGTTTTGATACCAAAACGGTTTGCTTTTGCTATCATATATAATTAGGACAATTCTTCTGATGAGTGCTGTTGTCTTAATTAGCATCTAAAAATTGACTATAAGAGCATATCTTTAATAATATAGGTTTTTAATAATTAAATTTTTTATAATTAACGATGATTATAAAGAATTTGTATTGAAATGAATATAACATGACATTTAATTCACTAACTTTTAGTTTCAAACAATTATATAATTAATTATGCTATTTATTTTAAAACATATAATATTATTATTTATATTATTAAAGTCTTGTAAATCCTACAAATCCACAAAAATATTATTATTTATTTTATTAATTACAATTAAAAAATATAAAATATAGGGTCAAGTTTGAGTTTTTTATACGCAGCTATCATTAAATTAAAAACAACTCAAATCAACTATAAATTTTTTAAATCTTACAAATCACTTTGGGCCCACAAAAAATATCTTAGTTTACCCACTTAAAATACTCCCACTAAAGATGCTCTAAGTTTTTTTTCTATAATCTATAAAATTCAGAATATATAGTATAGATAATATTGTGAACCGAAAAAATCGAAGAAGTTTTTTTATAGGCAATGTTGTGAATGAAAAAAGGAAAAAAAAAATTGTCGCATAAAGATGATCCGAAATAACTTTCAATAAATATTATCATTTTAATTAGGGTTAAATATACAATATTAGGGTAAACCAAATTAAAAAAGATATATATTACAGGAAAATAACTTTGACGCTAGAAGGAAAAAGACCTAGAACTTTAACATTTTAAGAGGAGGATTCAATTTTTTTTACAAGAGAATAAACAAAAATCGCCTACATTAGAGTGGGTGTCATATATTTAACCTTTTTAATTAATACAATTTACATCATTCTTATCTAGAGGAAGTCAAAAGCCTAGGAAAATAGGCCCAATTACAAGGGCCCAACCCAAAGCATCATTATGAAAAACCAATGAATATGGAGAACCTCGTTAGAGGGCTGAACACATGATCCAAGATACTAAAACATTAACTACAATTAGATATGATCGAAAGGTTCCCACGACGTACGTTAGATCAATCGGAGACGATTTCAACCATCTACCATGTATCAATCCCTCCACAAGCTATAACAAGTATTATCTTATTCTTACTCTTGCAGGTTAGACCTTTTTAACAACATTTACTTAGACGTTGAAGTGTTAACATTGCATATCTACCCCTCTCCATCGCACAAGAGGTTCTTGTTGTATGGGAAAGACTTTCTCCATACATCTAACCAATTTCTCATTCCGCCAACTGAACTGTATGGCCCATCAGGGGGACTTCTGGTTTCTGCGAATTTTCACGAAAAGCCACATCCTCTTAACCGCAACACTATAATATTTTATCTATATTCTACTATAATCTTTGATCAACTTTGTACCAACTATAATGGTGTCTATATATATTCATATAACCATCCAACAAAACGCCTTTATCATCTTTAATAGTTACTCCAAGGTCAAACTTCCTAAGGAGCGCAATTGCAAGTCTCTAAATTAGAGATTATTTAGAGTCTCTAATAACTCCAAGCCAATTTTGGCGTGCAAGAAAAAATGAATGGCTTACCAACATTTGAAAGTTAGTGTAGAAGTAAAATTAACACCTCTAAGCCTAAGTCCTTATAATAAAAGAGAACATGAAATTTGCTCCGGCTTAAGACAGCTCACCACACAAAGCAACACCATGCGTTAATCGCTCACCACACCTTAGTTGATCCCTCTCAGCACCTATACTGGGAACACTGTTCTCCTCCTCATGACTTAGAGGATAAAAGAGATATCTGAAATTCCTTTGAGGGACGTCATTCGCGAGGAGGGAGTAGATGACGTTGAAGTAAAAGTTCTTAATTAGAGGAGATATCAACTTTCTAGCCGCGTCCTTGGCAGCCAGATACCCAAATCCCTATAAAAACATAAGAATCGATAGTAGAACTATCACTATCACTATCAGAGATTGTAGAACTTTCAAAAATGATAACACAAGTCTAGTTCTAACTGATTATAATCAATAGTCCCACTAGGTCACTTCACATTTCAATAGCATTTATTCCACATCGTTATACGCTTCTTATGGATTGAGATCTCTATCATTTTACCTATATCATACAAAGTCCTAAGGATAGCCATTCTAGGAAAAAGATGGTAAAGTTATAATGTTATACGTGTAAGTGAGATAAATACAGGCTTGTTGAAGAATTAACAGGTGATTTTCTTTGAGAAATAGAAAACCTAGAAGCAACACAAACATGAAAGAGTTGGTTCTTCTCTTATATAGACTGAAGCTTGGGATAAGTAGGAAATGATCATTCCTCACCAGGCATCACTACAAGAAAAGTTGTATATACCCACGGATCATTACCCACGGCCATGTAGTCGTCGATAATTTTTTGGTATAGAGGGTTTATTCGTCAGTAATTCGTGAGTACCTGAAACAATATCAATTATATCTTTTTTAAACATTATCCACGGCTTAGCCATGGAAAGCAGCCACGGTTTTGCACCGTCGGTAATTACCCACGGTTAAACCCTCGGTAAAGTCTTATAAACTTATATATACTATTAATCAATAATTTTTTTTTAATATAAATTAAAAAAAAAACTAATGATATTTTTAAAAGGAACTAAAAATTACTTAAAATCTTATACTTAAACATTTGTTGTCTTTGTAACTTATATAATAATATATAACTATAAAATAGATATTTATCTAAAATAAATAAAATTTTACACATTTCAAAAGAAAAAATATTAAGTCAACATGATCCTCACTCCTCTCAATCTCATACTTTAGGATAAAATTTAAAAAAAAAATAGAAAATAGAAAAAAGAAAAAAAAAACTGAAAAGGAAAACAAGGGTTTCCATCTTCTAACTCCAATCGTTGAATCTCCTCTATACAATATCGCCGTCTTTTCTTACTGGTTGATTCTTATTCCCATCACTTTCTCTCTCAAACAACCTTCAATCGACACTTCACCCAACCTTCTACTGCGTCTTTCCACCTTCCCGCATCGTAAGCACTCAGTTTAACCCTGTTCGTTGCACCACTTTTGAGACCATCAGCATCATCGTCCTTTCTTCCAACTACAGCGTATTCCATTTCATCTCTTTTACTCGTAATTACATTTGCGTTTTCATTTTCTGATTATTTCTCTCTAGATCATTCGTGCGAGCAACATCGACGTTTTCTCGGTTAAACCTTAATCAGGTATTTCATCGATTTGAACATTATTTAGGAAAGAAACATTGTCGTTATTGACTAGCTTTGTTGTTGTTGTTGTTGTTGCAGTAAAAGAAAGTTGCGTTGAAATTGAAGTCACTTTAAGGACAAGCTTTTGGTTTCTGTTGCTGCTGGAATCAAGCTGAACCCTGTTATTTTTCAGTTCTTCAGTTCTCCAGCTTTTGGTTTCTGTCACTTTCAGTTCTTCAGGTAACAGAACCCTGTTATTTTTCTGCTTCATTTCTCCGTATAGATTATAATTCATTATTATTAAATATACACAAGCTTGAGTTAGTATGTTTATACAAGTTATATATCCTATTTGTTGTATATAAGTTGAAATTAACAATGCTCAAACACTGGCACAGAAAATAACACTGACAAATGCACCGGTAATAATGAGAAAATGTCAAATGAAAATAGTTGAATATATCATGTCTAAGGGTCATACAATACTTTAACTTGAAGGACCAATAATATATAGAAACTAAGTAAAAACCAAGCAACTTTGTTGAGAAATTACCTCTAGTGTCACCTGTGGTCCATTATATGAGGTCTTCTTCTTGTTATGGTTCCAGTTAAAAGACTACCCACATTTATAATCATTCCATCAAGACCAACATCATTATTTGGTGCAGCCAATGGTGAACTTTGTGGACCATAAATTGGTTGGTGAAATGGCCAAGCACACTGACTAGCAAATCGGGTTTTATAGTTTTCAACCCAAATGTAAACAAATTTGTGTTGTTTCCCGTTCATGCACGTACCGTAAGAAGATCGTGTGTCCCACACCTACCTGAACAGAAACCACCAACTACCATGTCAGAAGCTGTTAGAGCAATGTAGATGGAGTTCTGTTGTTGTCCTTTGGATGCGAGTTTAATGATTTGGTTAGTTGTAAAAGATTTTCCTAAAGTGTAATTGTCGTCGTGAATTTGAGCACCGAGGGAGAGAGTAAGATTTATTGATTTCCACCATGTGGAAACAGAGGATTGTGATGTAGTTATTTTTTTTGGAGAAGAGAGTTATGAAATCAGTGATGATGGCTCTTTGGGATGGTTTGAAATTTCCATACCAAATGAGGTTAATGGAGATTTTGCCATTAAGGAGACGAGCTTTCTAGCTGAGATCAAATGAAGCAGTGGAATTGTGAGAAAAACTGTGAAGATAATACTAATGTTAAGATAGGCATTTGTGTTATGTAATGAGATAAAGAAGAAAGTAAATAGAAATAGAAAGGAGGTATTATGAGATGATGGAAAAGTGAGATGAGACTGTTAGTATATATAAGTGAAATTGTTTTGTAAAGGAAAGTGAAAATATTACTTACAAAATGTAGTGAAATTTAATAGTGATGTAGTGACATCTTCCTAAGCCCTGTAGCATTGATCATGTATCAATGAAGGTGGTTCTTTTTAATTCATAATATTGTAGCAATTTATTTTTATGAAACAAGTGTGATCTTCTTTTCTTAAAACAGTGTGCAAGACTCACTTTGAAGTCCTGTAGAGATAAAATTCTTTGGCATTATTTTTATTTCTTTCCCATATTTCCTATGGCCATGCGATAGATATCTATATAAATATATCAATTAAGAATTAGAATATTTATTAATATTACTAAATAATTATTCAATACTGAGATGATGGAAAAGTGAGATGAGACTGTTTAGGTGTTGTTTGTTTCTATAGTCTAATAGCAATGTATATTTATATTTATAAGGA